TCTGTAGATCAGGCTGGCCTTGAACTCACAGAGATCCGCCTGCCTCTGCCTCCCAAGTTCTGGGATTAAAGGCGTGTGCCACCACCGCCCGGCTCATAGATACATTCTTAATTGCTCGGCTGTCTGTTTTGTTACTCTATCTTCAGCACTTGTGGTACCCGGCAATAGCCAGAACACAGATGCGATGGTATGAACAGTGGTGGTTATAATCAACTGCAGGACAGCAGACCTTCAGTTAGTTGTTCTGTGTGTTGTGATTTAATTGGAATTGGTTTTTAAATCATACTAAAACACAAGTTTGCCTTTCTGTTACTGTACAGCTCAATATTAAAGTCTTGTCAGTATATTCTAAAACTTTAGGCTGAATGCCTTTTTCTGAAATGTTTCATGATTAGAAATAGATTTTAGAAAAGGTATATTAATTTTATATTGTTAGGTACGATTACAGCTTGATTACAGTTTTCTGAGCTAAGATAACATGTTCTTATAGATTGTTGTGAATAGCTTAGTGAATTGAAGTTAGCAAGTTGGTAGTTGATATAAATTTAAATATTCTAAAATGCACTGAAATAATTTGTAGTGAAAAAGGAATTCAGTTACTGATGTCTTTGAGGAGAGATAGAATTGCAGTCTCAAAATTGAATGTTTAACTAAGCCTTAAGACTCTACAAGGAGAACATCCTAACTTATTGTTTCTGTTTATTTCAGGGCTGAACACGAGTAAACTCATTTTTCAGAGTTAAAGAATTATTTAAAAAAAACAAGATGGGGACGCCTGGTTCCGGAAGGAAAAGAACACCCGTAAAAGATCGGTTTTCTGCCGAAGACGAAGCTTTGAGTAACATCGCTAGAGAGGTGTGTACTGAGGAGCACGATGCTGCTCCCAGGTGCAGGCATTCGTTTGTCAGATAGCCGTGGGATGGCTGCTGGGAACAAGACATTATGGTTGGCCTCTCACATATTAATCAGTCTGTTCTGGTTAAATGTTCTTAGATTTGTATCCCTTCTGAATTCAATTTTTCTGAGACTTTATCTGAGATTAATTTTTCATTATAATTATGTGGATTATATATGTTTCGGGCATGTCACTTAGGATACTTAGAAGTTTGGCGTTCTGAGAACTGTGTTATGACTCACTGGGCCTCATAGCTTTCAGAGCTGCTGCTGGGTGAATGTTGACAGAAACTGCAATCTGAGGTTGCTTTTTGAAACATTGCAGTGGCTATTTATTTATTTATTTATTTATTTATTTATTTATTTATTTATTCACTTATTGTTGTTTGTTTGAGAAATGGTCTCATGTAGCCCAGGCTGGCCTTGAACTTCCTTTATAACCAAGGATGAACTTTGAATTTCTAGTCCTTCTGTCTCCACCTCTCAGTGCTAGTATTACAAGCGTGTGTCATCATATCTGGCTTTTATGGTGCTGGAGCTGGGTCCCAGGGCTTTGTACGTGTTAGACAAGCACCACCAACTGAGCTGGATCCTGGGCTTTGCTGGAGTTTTTTGTGTTTAATTCTTTTAGATACTAACAGAGCTTCTAGGGAGTTTTTGTTTCTATTTGTTGATAACTCCAGGCAGGGCGGATGGAGAGGGTAGGAGGATGGGAAGGGACATTGCTTTTGGATTCTTAGCAGCATTTCCTGTTGTATGTGGGTATTTCGGATAGCTCTCAGCTGGGATTTCTTCTGAGGCGCTAACTATGTTTCAGATTTTGACTGTAGCTGCAGACTTGACCTTAGTAAAAGACTCATTCAGGATTAGCATTGTTTCCTTTGGACTTAGTGTACATAGTCTTTGTTTCCTCTTGAAAGCTAGTTAGCATTTGAATTATAAGTAAAAACATTTAATTGTGATTTTATTTGTATGAAATATCAGGGTAGGCAAATCCATAGAAATTGATGGATTGTGATATCAGAGCTAGGAGCATTAAGGAGTGACTTCTCAGGTGTATGGGTTTCCTTGTGTGTATGATAATGGAAACTTCTGGTCTTTGGTAATAATGATGATTGTACAACTCTATGATTATACTGAAAATACTGAATTATATACTCTAGAAGGGTGAACTTTTAGCAGGTATATATAAAACTATTAACAACTTCAATCAGGAAAGTTGGCAGTGAGATCCTTTTGGTATTTTAATTTGAACCTTTTGTTGTTGGTATTTCACAGTTTTTTCTTATGTAGCCTAGCCTGGCCCCAAATTCCCTATGCAGACCTTGAAATTCTGACTCTCCCAAGTCTGTCCTGCCCCTACTCCCATTGTGAACATGGGTTTGTGTCACCACACCCTTTTAAAATTACTTCTTTGTGTGTGTGTGTGTGTGTGTGTGTGTGTGTGTGTGTGTGTGTGCACACGCGCGCGTGCGCGCGCTCTCGTGCTCGCGTGCGCATCTGTGCAGGTCAGGACAGATTTTAGAAGTCATTTTTCTCCTTCTACTGTGGGATCTGGGACTCAAAACTCACATCATCAGGCTTGTGCATCAAATGCGTTTACCCTCTGAACCCATCGCTCTTCTACCCTATGTTTTTTAGGGAGAGTCTCTCACTGAACCTGGAGCTGGCTAACTGGGCTAGACTGGCTGACCAGCAAGCCCCAGGGCTTCCCTTGTCTTTCCCTACTCAATGCTGGGATACAGTGTGCACTGCTTTTTTATGTGAGTCTGTGGGACCGAGCTCTGGTTTCCATGCTTGTTTAGCCAGCATTGTAGTGTAGAAGCCACATTTTGTGGAAGAGCACTTGGAGTAACATTACCTAAAAATTGAGTAGGAGAGTATGGAAGTAAAGAAAAGTGACCTAAAAACTGGCTATAAAATTATTTTAGAAGTCAGATATTTTTTGGCTAAAAATGATATTTTAAAAATGAAAAAAAAAACAGTCCTTTACAGTATTTACATAAGTTACATACTTTTAGGTAAAAATTAAATTTACTGTACTGTTTGGTTTAAAATTGGAGGTGGGTAGGGCAGAGGGTTTGGTGGTAAAAGCATTTGCCCCACAAGCCTGACATTTCAGATCCCAGAAATTCATATAAAGAGCCAGATGTGGTAGCACACATCTGTAATCCTTTCATACTTATGGTGAGATGAGAGGGAGAGGCAGGAGGATTGCCTGAAAGCTGGAGAGCCAGGTATCCTGAAGTACATAATGCAGCAGAAACAAGAGACCCTGCCTCAGCAAGGTGGAGGGCAGAACCACTCTTAGAATTGTCCACTGAACCTACACATGTGCTCTGGAACATAGGCGTACATAACACACACACACACACACACACACACACACACACACACACACACACACGGAAAAAATCTATTTTTCTAAAAATATGGGAGTATTTACCCTCCCCCCTTTTTTAGACAATTATATATGATGAGTGATACTGAGAAGAAACTGAAGCCTCTAGAAAGAATTGCAGACAGCCATTTTTCTGTAAATATATTTATTATCATTTTTTAGAGTCTCATGTGTATTCAATCTCTTGCTCCTAGCCATCCCTCATTACCCCAACTCCTCCACAGCATCCCCCATCTCTCTCCCACTTCATGTCCTCTTTTTTTAATAACCCTCTGAGTCCAATCAGTGCTGCCCGTATGCAGACTGGTGTGGGTGCACCGCCGGAGCACGGGCAACCTACCAGAAATCACACCCCTGAGAACACCGACTCTCCCTTTCCCAGCACCCAGTTGCCAGTAGCTCTTTAGCTAGGGGTGGGGCCTTGTGAGTGCCTCCCCCATCCATGTTGAAATGGTGACTGGCTTGATCTTTTGTAAGTCTCATATGGGAAACCACAGCTGCTGTGAGTTCCTTAGTGGCAAGGGCCCTGTCATGTCTAGAAGACACTGTAATATAGCAGTCTTCCCTGATCTCTGCCTCTTGACAATCTTTTTTTCTTTTAGGTAACCTTGATTCTTTTTAGAGGCTGTGTAATATTCCATTGTGTATATGTTTGTGTTTGTTTGTTTATTTGTTCATCTATTGGTTCTGCTTTATTGGATTATCATCTATTGCCTAAGGACATAATAGCCATTCAGGCATCTAGGAGAACCAGAAGTTTGTGGGTTTTGATTATAGATTAACATCCTGAGGAAAAGAACAAAGAGGTAGGTTCTGCTTAGGTAAAAAGACACCTTGTGGCAGTGCTTGATGGAGTGGCAGTCATAAGAGCTGGTCAGAGCTGATGGTGACGTTGCTGCTCTGAGTAACTGATTTATTTTTAGGTCATGGTAAATAAAAGATTAAAAAAACTTTTGGCAAGTACAAAAACTTTCTTAAAATGTGAAGAATTACCATAGTCAGCAGGAATTAAGAGTATTAATCCCAGCTTTCATTTAAGGCTGTAGCTTCTTTTTAAAACAAACATGAACTTTGGTTTTTTTTATTTATTGTTTTTTGTTTATTTCTCTGTTTTTGAGACAGGGTCTCT